ATGTCCTTGCTCACCTTTTCATCTACTTTGGTGTCTAGACTGCTACTAGTGAATCAGATGGTTCACTCATGCAGGCGATGGTTGGCTCTTTCTTGGATATGGAGCGCATGAAGCCTGGTTCTTGCGATCTGTTCATGACTAGGTTGCTCCAGCGACTGGCAAGGTTATTAGTTATTCCACACTTTTATGCTTCCCTTGAAATATAACATAAAATGTACTCCATTTGTTTATAATATAGTTTTCTCAAGAGAGTAGAAACTTTTTGCAGCTCAAAGGAGTCATCTTTGAAAGATCTGCAAGACCTTGCTGCTCGCATCTTTGCAAAGGGAAAGATTGAAGCAGAGAGTACAAGTACCGAGGTTGATAGCAAGAAAAAACAGCAGAGTAAAGAGCTTAATTCAAATGCGAATTTGAGTCCTCTGGCAAGGTTCTTGCTCTCAAGGTTTGTCTAAAATGTCAGCAAATATTAAGTTCTTGTAGTGCTGTGAAAAAATTACTATGAATATGAAGCACCAAATCAGTTCCTCATCTAGACATTCCTATTTTAAAATGCAAGATGAGAGACTGGATATTAGAATTAATATCTATTCTTCCTCTGTTTCATGACTATTTTGGGCATCTCTTGCCTAATGCTGATTTTTCACTAAGTGATGTCACAGTATTAGATGGAGAATTATTACGTGTTATGTATCAAGAAATATGAACTACATAATGCATGCATCTATCTTCCGACTCTGGGCACCTTGAAGCATTGACTGGTCATGTCTTCCTAAACAAGTTTGACCTTTCAATTGCAGATGGCAAGGACATGCTTCTCGAGATCAAAATGCTTAAACATTGAGGTTAGATTATTGTTTCAAAATTTTGCTTTTTAATGTTGCTTTGTTCTAGAATTATTTTGATTCTGTGTACATATCATTTTGAGGACATCTGTAATTTCTGTCCTCTGATTCATTTTGTTGGGTTACCGAAGAAGTTTTTCTGCTTTTGCTTTGCCATTTGTAATTTAAAGCTCTATATTCTGTTAGAATTTGTCACTTTTATTGGGCGTTTTTGTTGCTCAATGTAATAGCAACAGGCTTCTAAATTTTAGTGCTAACCGGTGTTTCGACTTCCGGAAGTTGTAAAGGAAAGGATATTTTGACATATTGTTAACTCGATTTCTCCTTCGTGCTTGATACGTATACTAAATAACATTTCTCTTTCTTTATTCATCTTCATTTTGCTACTGAACTTCATTTGTCTGGAAATCAGATATTTACTTTGGGAAGATATTTGTGCAACTGAATGCAGCGTTCGTGGGTTTTTGCCGTGCAAGCTTTGCAGGGAAAGGTAATTTTGCTGTTTAAAAGAGGGGGAGAAGGAGAAAAAAATTACGATGGGAAAGAGAATAATGACGTTAGATGACTGCAAATCATCTAGCAACCTTGAGAAGTAAACGTTAATGTTAAAAACCTTTCGGGTTGCACCAGGAATATGGATTCGGACGAGTGGTTAAGTTTCCAGGGGTCAAGGTGGATCCAATTGATGAATGGACCACAACTCATCTTGTAAAAAGTTTGGTTGTGTCAATTGGGTGGAATAGGAATAGATTAAGCAGCTAATAATAACTAAGCCAGCTCAAATCAAAATCGTTCGGTATAAATTTATTCTTTTGGTTCTTCAATAAGTTATTTTTTTCAACCATCTTGATAAAATTTGTGTTATTTTTAAGAAAAACTTTTCTTAGTGACTGAAAGATAGAAGCTACAACCGAAATCAGTCAAAAGACGTTTGTCTTCTCTATACTGGGTAAAGCCGGAAAGATAGATCCCAAAACCGAACCCCCCCNTAAACTGTATTATTAATGAGATTTAACTGATAAATTAGAACATTACGCATCGAGAGTAGCACAACTAGGTGACGTCTTTAGTTGTGTCTGATGCTTCGGGGTCCAGCTATAGATGAAGTTCTAAACCCTTTAATCACCATTGTATACTTGGAACGGTAAAGACGTCACCACTGTGCACGCATAACCGCTTCGATATTTTACCACAGTTCCACAAACATTAACATGTCAATTAAGGCCGTGCATAATTTGGTAAATACCGAATTACTGTATTGAAACCGAAAATTTTGGTTTGGTGTTTGGTATTCGATATTTTGGTATGTGGTATGGTATTTGGTTTAAACTTAAAAAAAATGATATTAGGTATGGTATTTAGTATTTAAAAGAATAATACCAAAATACCAATACCGTATTGAAATATGTAATAAGTTACACAATACATATATTATTAGTTATAACATACTAAGTTACATAATACTTTTCTTTGAGGCTGGTAGTAATGCCTATGTACTTCTTTAGGGAAATTGAGGAACAATATAGGCTGCAGATTGTGACTCTTATTCTCTAGGATGTCAAGTAGCTTAACGTAACACTTTTACAATTTTGGGGTGTTTCTTCGGGTGTATTGAATTGCATCTGCTGGATTAGTCCTCGTTATATTTTTTAAGTTCATGAATTAACTCTAAGCAAGTAATGAGATATTTTCAATGATTAAATTTATTCTTTATGTATTTTTTTACCTCTCGATGGGTTGATGGACAAAAACTTTATCAACAGTGCTTAGAACATTCTTATTTTTATATTCGCGAGCACTTTAATTAAGAATAGTACAATCTATAGTTCTATACACTAGTTAATATTGAAGCCGAACAAACAGAAGTTATCATACCGAATAAAACCGAAATCGAAAGGAGAAAATCCGAACCATACCGAATTTAATTAGGTACAATATTGGTATAGCATTTTAGAAAATCGAATACCGAAAATACCGAACCGAAATATCTAAATATCGTACTGTACCGACAGACGAATACCCCTAATGTCAATCGTACGTAACAATTGTTTGACAAAAAATTGTTATACCTTTTAGTTAAACTAATTAATAGAGAAATGGAGGGTGAATCTTAGCCCAACATAATTAACTCTAGATCCAAACACATTAAATACAAAAATCGAAGAAGATCAAGCTTGTCTAATATTTTTTAAGATGATTAACATATATCAAATGTAAATGATAAGCTTACATCTTTGATATGTTTGTACCATACTCGTAAGAGCAAGGAAGGAAAAGAGAGGAAGTTGTTGATAGCTAAGAGATCTATCTTTATTGATTCAATAATGATGATTGTAAGAAGTTGTAGCCAAAATTTGGATTGTTGGTTTGTTGTTAGGGATCTCTTCTTGCTCGTCTCTTTGATACATTGTTCTTTTCTTTTCTTCAATGGCCCCCCCTTTTCACTTGCCTTCTCCTTTCATATATGTATTATCAACCTTACCATTTATCCAATGGTCTTTACCCAACGGACCCTCACATGATTACACTCTTTCTTACTTGCACGAGTAGTGCGACGTATGCGTTGTCGTGCAGGCCTTCTGATGGATCGATCTCGATAGTGGCCGAGGGGGTCGCCGCTGTTATGCCTCGTGGGTACGACTAAGGCTTGGTCGACCCCTTATCGTTCCTTTTAAGGACAATCATCTTGTGGCTAGATTTTGATACAAATAGTTAGTCCCTCCGTCCGTCAGAGTCGCCCTTCGGCGAATTCGATGAGCGGATTTTGTTGATTCAAAAGTTAGGAGAAATCTGAACATTATGCGCAGAACGAGGTCCTCAAGCGAGGTGGCAACATGACGCTTCAGGGGTCTCATTGGACCGTTACGTCAGTTCAGAGTTGAACCGTTGCATCAAGTTATGATATCATAAATGCCCATTATGCATCATCATGACGCACGTTTCCCAGGCACCGTATCGTTTTCCGCGCCCTTTCAGTTTTTTGATTGGTGGCTCTTGGGTTTCCCGCTCAGGACATTTGTGTTCCTATTAATAGGGGAATCCCTCATTTGATTGTTATGCTTTTCAATTTACCTGAGAGATTTTTACAAACTCCCACATTCTTCAGTCTTTCATACTTCTACTTTCGTCAGAATTCGACGTGATCATTCTCCATTTTCTTCCATTGTTCTTGTTTATTTTGATCAAGACAAACAAATGGCTGGTACTTCTTCTCAGACTGGTAGATTTGTTGAAGCTCCGGTGCCGGAAAATAATGTGCCCTTTCTTGAAAAGGGAATGGAGGTGGTGGAAGACGAGGGATTTCTGACAGTGGATGAGATAGTTCCCCGCCCAGGGAAGATGAGGACTGACTTTAACAGCCCTGCTGGAAATGAACCAGAGCCTGTCCCCTCCACTATGGATGAAGCGGTGATTACGACGCTCAAGGCCAAGTGGGGAATCCCTGCTCATATTGAAATGGTACCAACAGCGGAGAAGGACATTGTACATTTGCACCGCCCGGGATACTACGCATTTTACGCGTACTCCTTCGTTATCAGGTACACGCTTCCTCTCCCCTCTCTAGTGGTAGTCTTCTGCCTTTTCTATGAATTGTGCCCGGCTCAACTCTCTCTGTACGCGTACAAACATTTCCTCATGCTTATCAAGTACGCGGAACTTGCCGGACGAGGAATTTCACTGAGGCACATGCTTCACATCTTTGCCCCTCATTTTCTTCGGGGTTCAATGATCCATATACGCCATTGAAGAACCAAGAGTTTGGTGGTGAAGATGGATGATAAGGCTAATTGCCGCTTTTGGGAAAGCTACTTCTATGTGCGGACATAGCACCTAGTGACGGACTCGGCAGGGTTTCCAGAGACGTGGAACTTCGCTCGTGAGTTATCCTTTGTTTATTTTGTGATTCCTAAGAAGACGGTCGTCGATCGTTCTCCTTTAGGTAATATTGCTAAGGACTTGTTTTTGCTTTTGCAGCCGAGAGACTACCTCCCCCGATAATTGACGATATCCACGAGTGGGTAAGCGCAATTCTCCCCCATACAATGGGGATTCGTGAGTGGGCGTCCTTCCATGAGAAGTATGGGCGTAAGCCTCTCACTGGTAAGTCAGCCCGCTATAATTTTTCTTTATTCTTTATCTTATGGTTTAAACCTTGTTGTTATATGATAGTGTTTCTTTATTGACAGGGAGAGTGCGAAGGACGAGGGCCCCTCCACTCGCATTCCGTCAACCGGCGCCCCCTGCCTGGCCTGCACAGAGGGTCGCTGTCCGGCCTACGCCAAGAGCTTCTGCCCAATCCGCATCTGCGGCCATAGCTGTATGTGCGGAGGCTACTCTTCAACTAGAGACTCTGGTTTCTGTTGTCTGCTCAACGGGCGAATCTTCCCCCGCTGGTAGTGGAGAGGCCCCATTAAAGAGACAACGGGTGGTGTTGGAAGTGTCTCCTTAAGCCGAAACATCTTCGAGGGGTGACCTTTCCTTGACGGTGCCCGAAATTGGCGGTGGTGCTAACCCGGCCGCAGAGGCTATGCCGGTTGTGAGCGGTCAACAAGCTGGTATGGCAGAGAGAGGAAGTCTTGAGGCCGCCATTGCTATCTCGAGCGGCCCTTCGACATCCCGGACGAACCGCACTTCTTCTTCAGCCAAAGAAATGGGAAAAGGCATCATGGTTGATGATTACGAGTCTGAATCCAACATCTATCCTGATGACGTTAAGATGTTCGAGGAGGGCTTTACCCGAACTGTAGTAAGAGCGGAAGGTCCTTCTCGAATACTCGAAATTCCATCGGATCTCAACCTTCTGCGAGACACGATGGATTTTGTGCTGCAGTTTGACCTTCTATGCTCTACCGCAGAAAGCGGAGCTTTTCAGGATGTTAGTGACGCCAAATTGTCACGTGGTGTGGCCGCGATGGCCTAAGGGTAAGTTCCTCTTCTTTGTTTGTTTTTCTTCTTCTTCTTTTTTTGTGTGACCTTGGTCTTTATCGACTTTTTTCCTTTCTTTGTTTTTAGTCTTACATACTGGAGATCGAGAGTGCTTGTAGGGCCGAGACTCGGGACAAGATTTTTTTGAAGATGCTTGAAAAGTATCGGCGGTATCGCAACAAATGCAGTGAGATGCACGGGTGGCTCAGGGTGGGTACCGACACCCAATCCATCGGGGAGGAGTTGGATAAAATGGATCAGGAGCTGATGCAGTCCATCCGCAAATGCAGTGAGCTCGAGGAGTTGCTCCATGCCAAGGACAAAGAGCTTGAGTTGGGAAAGAGGGTCGCTGCGGAGTGCGAGCATCTTCAGGCGAAGGTGCTATCGTTGCAAGCCAAACTTGAGCAGAATTCCACCAAAGTCGAAGCTTTGAGTGCATAATGGATAGGTAAGTTGGCCGAGCTGGAGAGGAAAGTGGTCGAGATGGAAAATACCGAGAACGTTCGGACATCGGCTTTGGCGAGAGCGGCGATGCTAGAGAACACTATCTGCATCCTCCAATCTAAGTAGGAATATGAGAGGGCAACAGCCACGCTAAGGGAGGCGCGGCTTGAGGAGCGTATTGGTGAAATTGACCGGTAGGCTTCGAGCCTAAGAGACCGGGTCGTGGCACTCGAGGCCGAGAAGGCACAATTATTGGCTCAAGTTGAATCTGCCTCTACCGCTATTCCTCGCCACTAGTATGAGCTGTGGGTCCATGTCGATGCCCAACGAGATATATACAAGGGTTTGTGGGAGGCGGGCAGTGTTTTTGAGGCTGCCTTTGAAGAAGTTCGGGCGAAGGCATGCGAGGCTCGTACCAATTGTGGCTATGACCCTATGATATCGGAGGTTGGCGAGGATGCTAATGTTGAGGATGGATTTCTTGAAGACAATGATGAGGATAACGGTGGTGATGACGCCGAGTTAAAAGCTGCTGCGACTTTCATAGTTTTTTTGTTTGTTTTGTTGTTTGTTCTTTTTTTGGGAGGGGGGNTCGGCTTTGTTTGTGTACCATTTAATTTTCTTTTTCTATCCCTCCCGTTTGTTATATTTCTCTTTTTGGCGTAGACCTTCGAATTTTTTTGTGAGGAGTCCCTGATCTTTTTAATTAGGAAACCGACCTTGCGCTGATCGGGTAGGATCCCGTCGTATGAGTCCGAATGAAATCATTTTAGATTTGCGAATTCGAGCGAGACTGACTTCTGGCTTGTCAGTTAGGGCGGAATCAGTCTTGATTCAAACGAGGTCGAATTGAAATTCGCCATCTTGGGCGAAGTCAAGCTCTGACTTATATTTGAATGAGTTCGAACTTTTCTTTTATTTGACGGCGGCTAGTGGCTTTAAAGGTGTTATTTCGATCAAGGTCGGAATTATGACATGTTATAATTCAAGCAAAGTCATTTGTTTTGGTGTTGGCCGTTGGCCGTAGGGGTGTTACTTTGAGCAAGGTGGAAATAGTAACCCGTTATAATTCGAGCGAGGTCGAACTTCTCTTTTGGCGATGGTCATTGGACGTAGGGGTGTTATTTCAAGCAAGGTCGAAATAGTAACCCCATGTAATTCGAGTGACGTCGAACTTCTCTTTTGGCGATGGCCGTTGGTCGTAGCCCATAGGGGTGTTATTTCGATCAAGGTCAAAATAGTAACCCGTTGTAATTCGAGCAAGGTCGAACTTCTCTTTTGGCGATGGTCGTTGTCCGTAAGGCTGTTATTTCAAGCAAGGTCGAAATAGTAACCCGTTGTAATTCGAGCGAGGTCGAACTTCTCTTTTGGCGATGGCCGTTGGCCGTAGCCCGTAGGGGTGTTATTTCGAGCAAGGACGAAATAGTAACCCGTTGTAATTCGAGTGAGGTCGAACTTCTCTTTTGGCCATGGCCGTTGACCGTAGGGGTGTTATTTCGAGCAAGGTCGAAATAGTAACCTGTATGCTAAAACATACTCATCTACTAAGATAAACAAATTCAAAAAATAAAGGTTAAATGTATGTGCATTTTAAAAGCACGAAAACTAACTAATTTAATTATTTTCCTACTTTTTAAGACTGTAATTTCTAAATTCTTTTTAATTTTAGAAATCCTTGTTTTCAACTCCATTTATTTAAATTTAGGAGTATTAAATTTCAAGAACTTTCAGTTTATACTAAGATTTTGGCCACTTTATACTGCTTTTAGATTTAAGATGTTCTTTTTTTGGTTAATAAAAGTTTCCTCACTATCTGGTCATTTAGTAAAGGTAACGATATTAAGACAATGAAAGACTTCTTATCAACAAAAGGGTATAGAACTCAAGCTACATAAGTTTGATTGTAGTATTCTATTCTAACAATTAGGTTAGAATAGATAATGAAAGACTTCTTATTAACAAATGGGTATAGAACTCAAGCTACATAATTAAGTGTATAATGGAGTAAAAACCCGAGTGAGGATGGTGGGTGGGGACTCGGACCATTTTCTGCTTATGATGGATTTAAATTATGGGTCGGCACTCAGCCCTTTTTGTTTGCTCTGGAGATGGACGTACCGATGCGCCACATCTAAGGGGAGGTGCTGTGGTGCATGCTATTTGCAGATGATATTGTATTGATTGACGAGACGCGAGATGGTGTGAACGCGCAATTAGATGTATGGAGGCTGACCCTGGAATCTAAATGTTTCAAGTTGAGGAGGACCAAGACATAATACTTGGAGTGTAAGTTCAGTGGAGAGACTCAAGAAGGGAAGGAAAGGTGAGGCTGGACTCGTAGATCATCCCTAGAAGAGGGAGTTTTAAGTACCTTGGGTCTATTATTCAAGGGGATGGGAAAATTGACGAAGATGTCACCCATCATATTGGGGCGGGATGGATAAAATGGAAACTCGCTTCCAATGCTTTGTATGATAAAAAGGTGCCACCGAAACTTAAGGGTAAGTTCTACAGAGTGATGGTCAGACCAACGATGTTGTATGTGGCTGAGTGTTGGCCAGTCAAGATCGTTCATGTCCAGAAGATGAAGGTAGCAGAGATGAGGATGCTGACATTGATGTGCGGGCACACCAGGTTAGATAGGATCATAAATGAGGTTATTAGCGACAATGTGGGTGTGGTCCCTATTGAGAACAAGATGCGGGAAACGCGACTTAGGTGGTTTGGTCATGTGAGGAGGAGGAGCACAAATGCCCCGGTGAGAAGGTGTGAGAGGTTGACATTGGAGGGCCTACGGAGAGGTAGAGGTAGGCCAAAGAAGAGGTGGGGAGAGGTGATTAGGCAAAACATGACACAACTTCAGCTAACCGAGGACATGACCCTTGATAGGCTAGTATGGAGGACGAGGATTAGGGTAGTAGAGTAGATAGTATTGAGTGTTCATAACAGTAGTATTGGCACGCAATCTTGCTTTTGTGTGGTAGTAGGTTTTTATGACTAACCGTTGTTTTCTTTCATTGTTGATCACCTTACTATCTTACTATTTTTATTCTGCTTTTATATAGCTTTTTGGTGTTGTTCCTTCTTGTCTATATTTTTATTAATGTGGTGCTTATGCTTTCCTCAGCCGAGGATCTATTGGAAACAACCTCTCTATCCTTACAAGGTAGGGGTAAAATCTGCGTATACATTACCCTTCCAGACCCCCACGATGTGAGATAATACTGGGTATGTTGTTGTTGTTGTTGTTGTTGTTGTTGTTGTTGTTGTATTCTAACAATTATTTCTAAGAAAAAATTAGAGAAGACTTTTTGTGAAAAAATATATTTAATTATCTGGGTATATAATAGTATGTCTCTTTAATAAAATGTTCTCTCTATAAATTATGTATCAAAATGCAAACACACATTCTAAAAAGACTATAATTAGATAAACATTACCCCAATATTTATAATTATTATGCTCATTAACTCAATATAAAATTCTAAAACTACTTTCGAAATAATATTTAACAATTGCACGTCAACTATATAATATAATAATAATTATGTAATTTTTAAAATTTTATACTTGTTGATACAAGGTACACACGCAAAAAGACATAAAACATCTGTATTTTCCCTTCATTTAGCTGTCTATAAATCGTACCCGAAAGATACATCCGCGGTTCAAACAATATATGGCGCAAAAATAACACAAAGAGCTAAATATTCAATCCATGACAATGGTTTTAAGTTCTCTTCGCGATCATTTCGTCAAACACCTTTCCTGCACTAACGCTACCACTAGCATCATCACCAGTCGTTTTTTCACAGTCCGCCGCGTTCGCAGGCTAATTCCGTTCATTCACTTTTCTAACTCCAATTCTGCACTTTCAAAAGAAAATTACCAGCACCGGAAGCACATCCAGACTGTAGCCCAATTTTCCACCTTACCGTCTGCTTCTTCGGAGGCTACAGCTAGTGATTCGTTCACTTCTCCTTACCTCTCTGTTCGCATTTGCTGTCAAAAGGATGTAGCTGTAAGTGAACATTTTTATTTTACTGTTTTCTCCTGCTCGTTCATGATTTGATGTATTTTTGTGTGCAGATATAAGTGAAATTGTAATAACGATGAATTAATACTGATAAAATTTATCCTTTAACTGCTGTGTGCTTGTGGTGATAAGGGTTGAATTTGAAAAGGCTATTACTTTCACTCTTTCCTCTCTTTTTCTTTACTGGGAGTTCATACGAGAACGCTGAAGTTCGCGCAGCAGCAGAGTGCCAAAAATTACTACATTCATTACTCCTTTATATGTAGTATAGTATATATTTTTCAATATTTTTTAATTATATGTAGTTCAAGCTGAAGACTGTGGATGCATTTGCTGCGCGAAATGTACAAATTACTATATTAGGAAAATATAGAGATTGGAAATGCCATGTAATCTGGTGTTGTGTTACGAAAATGTGGAGCTTTAGTGGTTCTTGCTTAATCCCTAATTGTACGGTGACATGTAATACAGTGCAGAAATTGTGTAGAACATACATCAAATTGAACTTGAACTTCAATTTTTGTTTTACTATCAGGATATGCTCTCAGAGGCTCTTTTATGTTTCGGAGCCAGTTCAACTACTGTGGATGCAGAAGAAAGCAGTGAGAGAAGTGATGAGGTAGATTATCCATTATTCTATTCATGAATACTGCTTTTAAGTACGACGCATCAAAGGCATTTTCTGTTCTGTGTCTGTGTTTGTATTCCTGCAATTTACAACTCAATGCATGTATTGATCCTTTATTATGCAACTTGTTGGAGAACTAGTAGGCATAACTTGCTCCTCCTGGCAATTTCAATTTGAGGTGCTCAGAGCTGTTCAACTATCTGTCACATGTGGTTGAATATATCATCTTGAGTCTTAAGTTAGCATCAGTAGTTAATGTACAACGTTTGACTGGTTCCTATCAAACTTTTCATTTGTATTTATTAACTTCTCTTTCTCCAACCTTGCAGATAATCATTACTTCCATCTTTTCTGTATGCAAAGATGTGAAAGACTGCGTTTCACTTGCTGCTGATTCTATAGGGTTGCAAAAAATACCTAGTTTTGAAGTTGCGATGCATGACCACACTAATTGGATAAAAGTTACACAGGTCAACATTCTTTCCTTTGCTATTGACTATTGAGTAGTGTAGTAACTAATAAATATTTTATTGATCTTCCACCTGCGTATATTTGCCTAGCAAAGTAGATGTACTGATAAGCCTGGTTTGAAAAGGCTTCAAATCTTCTTTTGTCCCTATGCTTAATAGGAACCTGCTGAATGTTGTTTGTCATAGTGTTCAATTACCAACTTTCAGGTCTTTATGGGCATGCGATCAAGTTGAGTCAATAGTCAATACTTGGAAACTGTTGTCACACCTCCTTTTTGCGCGCCCGCCCCGAAGGATAAATGCGCGAGGGAGTTTTTCCAA